TCTATGAGACACCTCTATACTTTCCAAAAGAAATATTTTGTGATGACTAAAGAATAAAACAAGTCATCCTAAATCTATTGTAAAACTCACTAAAGTTTACCTTTACTGGTTATGTTAAAGTAAAAGTTGACTATGACTTTGAATTTCAATAAGTAAAAGTCAGTGTTTAGGATACAGGCATCGGCATTAAATAGGAAGACAGGGAAAAGTTATTCACATTATTTGGGAAATTAGACTCTACTGCCTCTATCAATACTAGTGGCATAGGTCTTGGATTAAGTATTTGTAGGCAAATAGTAGAGATGTTTGAGGGTAGAATAGAATTAGACTAAAACTATAATGATGGTTGCTAATTCTTATTTTCAATCAAGGCTGAGTAAAAGGGTTAGTCTCCATACTCACCATTGAGACAGTCAAATAACTCTAGCATCTATAATACTAGAAGTATGCATAGTTCATTTAAATTCTAAGATATTGAAATGGGGAATGATTTAATAGATAATGAAAAAAAATTAGTTTATACGAACAGAGGAGCAATGACAGAGTAATCTATGATTTGTCAAACTAAAAATTTCAATGTCTTGATGGATTTGGATTAAAATGGTGATCAAATGAACCTTCTTCATGATGAGAATAGTGTATATTTTGAATAAAATCAAATTAAAGTCCCTATATAAGATTAACCTTTGCTTTTGAGAAATACTACCAAAAATTATTGTTCTTGTGATAAAGATATGCCTAGTATATTAGTAGTTGATGATAATATATTTAATCTTGTTACTATAGAGACTATATTAGATATGAACTTTAAATTAAAGGTTCACAAGGCTACTAATGGCTTGGAAGCCACAGTAAAAATAAAAGATCGATATGTTAAAAGCATGAAATGCTCATGTAAAAATAAAAATTCGCAAGAGACTTATAAGTTGATTTTTATGGATTGTAACATGCCAATAATGGATGGATTTTAAGCCACTCAAGAAATACGATAGTTTGAGTAAAAGAATAACATCCATTAAGCAAGTTATATCGTAGCATTAACAGCATATTCAACAGATATTTTCTCTAATAAATGTAAAGAATCAGGTATGGATGACTTTACTACTAAGCCAATCAGTGTAGACACTATTTAAAAAATACTTTCGAGTACTTTATTCAAGTGATTAATGAGAATGAAAAAATAATTCAAGCATAATAAAAATAATATTAATATTAATGCGGTTGATTTTATATTAAATATTAGTAAATTATTAGAACTATTAATTATATTCAAACTGTAATAATGGGGTTTTGGGGTTTTGGGG